GAAAAAAAATAGTTTTTTTGATATCTTTTTACAAATATAGTCACAGTATGCATTGAGTGTTAGTGATTCATCCAACACGAAGCCTAAATACTTGAATTCTGACACCCATTCAATTTTGTCTCCCTCCACTTCGAGTTGAAGCTTTTCATAGTCAATTGATTCCAGTTTATGTTTCTTACTAATTATCATTGATTTGGTTTTATTCGTATTACTTTTCAGTTTATTTTCGTTTAAATATATTTCAATTTTTCTCAACAATCGATTCATGCGCTCCACTGTTTCTACAGCGTCATGTCCATAGCATGCAAGTGTCATCTGCAAATCAATTAAAAAAATCATAACTTTGTATATAATTTACATCAAACAGGTAAATTATAAACAGCAGTGGTCCCAGGACACTCCCTTGAGGTACTCGTATATTGTTTGAAATTTCATTTGAGAAACATTTCCCCACGCAATTCCACTGTTCTTCTGCTTTCCATAACAGCTTGACGTTTCTTTATGTGTTCAAATCTAAATCCTAGTTTCTTTATTCAATTTTGAAGAGTTTTGTCACAACAGCTCAGGTTATGGCCGCAAGTATTCAATTTCTTTCTTAAGATTTCAATTGTAGGAATCTCATTGCTTTTGTAACAGTCGTATATTGTTTTTTTCAATGATTTTATCAAATGAACATCTAAAGGTTTTGGTAATCCCGCATCAAATCGCGTCTTGCGTTCATAAGGTTTGTTTTTGACTAGTTTACGTACAGTTGAGAAAGGAATTTCGGTCAAATCTGATGATGCTTGTAATAGTTTGTTTTCCTCGAAACCAAATCCGAAATGTAAATTCTTATACAGCGTGACTCACGGTCGATGGTAAGTTAGAAGTTTCTGGAAAACGCAAAGTATGATTTTTCTGAAAATTTCACCTCTCACATTTCCTTACCTGTTCTATCGATCAAAAATATTTTCAGCATTGCGGCGTTGCCACTTCTATCAAAAAGTCCTAGCAATTATATATTTTTAAATGGAACACCCCGTATATTAATACAGTTTTGGAATCGGTCTATTATTTCAATAATTTTTTTGTTAATAAAGTCCCATACCTATATCTATCTGTTTTCGAGATAAAAAATAAATTGTGCTAAATATGGTCCAAAATATGGCCTTAATTGAAATTAAGTACATCAGTACTCTCAATTCATGAAAAGTTGATATTTTGAAGATAGTTTGGACAAACTCGAAATATTCAAATAACACCAAGAAATCGACTCCAT